TGCTTGCTGTGATCAATTTTCCTCTCTACTCTTCCCTCTTTTTAAAACTTATTCAAGGTTTTCTTGATGGTTCATGAATAGACTTTGAAGATGGAAGCCAGAGAATGAATGTTGGTGCCATTACTGAAGCCCTGAATGATCTTTTCCTTCTCACCATTGCTCAGTTGGGAAGACACGGTGGGGCTGAGACAAAACGATTTTTAACCTGTTTCTCCTTCTAGCTGATTAACTCAAAGGGTTTTTTTTTCCGTGATTCTTACGGAAATGGTGTAAAGATGTCTAAACGTCTTATCTGAAAACCTGGAAAAAAAAAGAAACTCAACGAATTGAGCGCTTTTCTAGATATTAAAAATTTTGTGGGATGGACAATTATCCCATGCTGCCACACGATTTGGACAATTTTGCTGTTACACACGGAAAACACACACACACACACACACACACACACACACGCACACACACACACACACACACATATATATATATATATATGTGTGTGTGTGTGTGTGTGTATATATATATATATATATATATATATATATATATATATATACATATATATATATATCCCCTTTTTATACAAATGTCGTTGAAACCGACTGACAAGGTACTACGGTTATTTTATTTTTTTATTTATTTGTTCTTATCTTTTTCTTTTCTCGACATGAATTATGCTAAAATTGTTCAAATGTTTTATATCTCCGAGCCCTTTCGACGATACTTTTAGCCATTATCAAAGATGAATTTTATTTTTACTTTTAACTGGATGTATGGATTGTTTTATGTATGTATCTAGAGTTATAGGAAGGTTTTATTTTCCAAACACGGCCATCGTATTGTGGCCGTGTTCATAGTTGATATTATTGAGTGTTCGCTTTTTACTTTTTTATTAATAATTAATAATTTTTTAGGGGATACTTATATTTGCGTAGACTCTTCATTTCTTTATTGAACCTACATGCACCCTGTCTGAATTTATTAAGCAAATCACATAAATTTCAATAATTCAAGTTTGGTTTTTAAAAAATTGTCAAATTTTAAACAATCAATTTAGTTTTCTAAACAAACTCTGAGATAAACTTTTAGGTCGTATCAATATGTTTTATTGTATTTATTGAATTTATTTGATGTATTCTAAAAAAACAACGTCAGAAGTTATTAGGCAAAACCTAATAATTACATTTTACTTCGATGAAAATGTAATGATATCATCGAAGTCAATCAAAACTTATAATATAACAAATAATAAACACGTAAGTCATTGAATCCTTTACATTTTAATATAGGACCCCTTCTTCTCAATAACAGCCAGTAAACTATTATGCATTGATTTTGTTATTTTTTTTAACTTCAAAAGGTTCAATTTCTCACATGGTAGTTTTTATTGCTTCCCATCGGTCCGCTTTGCTGTTATACTGTTTGCCATCTTCATATAATCTCATCTTCACAATTGATCACAGATTTTTGATAGGATTCAGATTAGAACTTGATAGTGGCCATTCCATTATCTTCTCTCCTGTAAATCTTTTATGCTCAAATAATTCACAGGTAAAGTTAGATACATGAGAAAAACCATTGTCGTGCTTTGAAACTGCGAAACAGCATTTTGTACCATGCAAAGAAAGTTTTGTTTCGTAAAATCGCAATAGTCACCTCTGTTCAGTTTAACTTCTTCATCGACTCTCAATGGTCCAATATTGGTTTGATCGACAATTCCAGCCCATATATCACTTCCTTGTTGCCTTCTTTTAGCTACAGGCACGTCTGAAGTGAATAAAATCTATCCTTTGGCTCATCCACCAGGTTCATCAAATGTCACTCGAGATTCGTCCGTGAAAATTGTTTTAGAAAAGTAAAGTTTCATGTATTACTTGGGGCCAATTTTGATGCTTTAAAATATTTGCTTCGGTGAGAGGAGTTTGTCTAGGAGATGTTTTTTTTTTTTTTTACAGATTCCCTTCGCATAGTATTCTACATCTTTTGTCCTTCTTGACTCCCTCAATTCAAGCCTTTTCAAAGATCTGAGCGCTGGTCAAAAATGATTGTTTCTCTATAACACGCTTTATGTCGACGAAGCAAGTTCTTAAAGACTTTTACCTTTGCTTTGAGTTTTCTCAAGTTATATTTTCAACATCCTTCTTTATCGTTCGATGATCCCAGCAAAGCTTCTTTGATGTCGCCAATGTGGACATTCCCTCACACAATAACTTTTCTATTTTCTCTTTTTCAGCAGTTGTTTGTTCCTTTCCTTTAACCATGTTTCAACATATATTATAGACTAGAATAAAAAAAAGAAGTTTGTATTACATTTCAGCGGCATTAAGCTAATATTAGCTTAACCTGCATAGTAACTTCAGTCAGTTCATTTTCGTAAATTTCAAAAATCTCAAAAACTAACCACTAAAAATGGCAGAAAATTTAAATAATTATTTTACTAGGAGTGGAAATGGACGAGTTTAAATTTGACAGATATTGGTTCAGAACATTCTGTGTCATTGTGGTTAATTTGATTTGCATAATAAATGCAGACAGCCTTTATATTTCTTTAATGAGGTTTCTAGAATATACTTTTTAAAACATAAATGGAGCGTCTACTCAAATATGAGTATCCACTAAAATATCCTACAATTTATTATATATCTATATCTATATCTATATATGTGTGTGTTTGTGCGTGTACATTACCTTTATATATATATATATATATATATATATATATATATATATATATATATATATATATATATATATATATATATATATATATATATATTTCATTTCTCCAGCTATGGGTAAAATAGCAGGACAGACTGGGTTCTATAGCCTTGGATGGCAACTGGTCTAGGAGAAGGACAACTCTGAATTCAAAACCTGCCGAGGGTCGTTTGGGAACCTTGTGGCATGCATTCGGTGCACCAGGTTTCTGTATTTGTCCCTCCAAAAAGTGTGGCTGGTCCTGCACAAGGCCTTCACCACTATAAACAAATCTCATGTGACGGTGTCGGGACGTCGGTTTCCTGGGACTTATCGGCCTGACCTCATACGTCGAACGCGACGGGAGAGTCGATTATATATATATATATATATATATATATATATATATATATATATATATATATATATATAAGTGTATTCCATCATCAATTGTTTCGAACAAGACCAGGATATTCAAACCCACGGTAACGATAATGTGAAATTTCGAAATCGCCCAGCCATCGACGCCTTCCAGAACGTTCCATCTACCAAATTTCATACATAAATATGTACGTACATGAGCTTGCTTGTGTCTGCATCTATCTATCTATCTATCTATCTATCTATCTATCTATCTATCTATCTAGTTCCACTGTTCTCTCCCGAACTTAGTATGTTTTATCTATCTATCGATCGATCTAAAAGTGGAACTTAGGGACTGCGTGTCGAAGAAGAACATTAATTATAATATGAGGTACAGAAAATTTGTCATCCCAAAGAATTTCCTATTCTAAAATCCAATCAAACGACTAGACATCACACTTCATTTTGGATTATCTTCTTAATTTGGGTTATAATACTATAACGCCATTTCTTGAATGTTTTTGACCTGAAGATCGTATTAAAACCTGAAACTGACAGTTGCCAGGCAGTGTTAATTCATGTCAAGACAACCTCTCTCTCTCTCTCTCTCTCTCCACACACACACACACACACGCACACACACACACACACATATATATATATATATTTAGGGTTTGTAATAACTGACTAGCTTAATCTGCTGTTGTATCTATTAAGCAAGGTATAATCAATTGGAGAATATATATATATATATATATATATATATATATATATATATATATATATACAAATGAGAAAAATTTATGTTCTAATAATCACGTGTGCTTTTGTGTGAAGCAGATGTTTTCAAGCACATGAATTCTGTGAACTAGACATGCAAATATTTCTGGAATCAGTAATATTTGACGAATTGCCAGCATCTGGAACGGAAATGCTTGAACCAATCACCCAGGAGGGATTCATGGCTGTTCTCGATTAAAAAGCGAACTTTCTTTGCTCCCACGTCTCGCCTTTGGAACCTTCTCTCCCGGCTTCTTGCTGCCCTGTCTCCTACGATCGTCAAAGATTTAAATTCAGCGAGAATCGCCATCTTCTGCCGGTTATTTTATTGTTCTTTCACCTCAGTAACGTTTTCACATTTTCTCTCACTCTCAGTAATCCCATGTATCTTAGTGGCTTTATCGCCTTGTTTGCGGTAAAATAATTAAAAAAAAATGAATTTATATACATTCATCTAAAATATGAAATGTAAAAAACTAATAAAACATTATTCTTAAAACAATTAGAAAATTATTTTATTTTTAGCAAAAGCTGATATTTAAAGTAATCCGGGAAATTTACTCAGAAATATTTCCGATTCAACAGAGAAGCTTAGTAAAACCATTTATGATTCCGATTCAAATATATAATTTTGTTTTAATGTCAGTTTTTCTCAACTATTCTGAAAGGTTCCCAGGCTGACCAAGATGAGTTCAAAAAGATGTTTGATCATTTGGTCAGAGATTGGGAGATTAGTTTGGCAAAGGAATTTTCAATATGGCTTGTTATATATTTTTGGTTTATTTTATTTTCCTTTTTATTTTATTTCTTTTGAATAATGGTTTCTTCAAATATAAAACTCATCTATGAGGGAAGAATCGGTCTTTGTTATCTTCCTTATCCCTGTCTGACTGGGGTATGCTGCTTTATTTAAAAACCTTTTTAAGAAAAATTGCTGCACTCTAAGAATTTATGATAATGTTCCATATATTTCGATGACATCGAATTCATATGACAATCCTATTATAACAATGCATATTTCTCCGTTACTCATTAAATTACTAACTTAACACGTGCGTTACGTCCTGCTTTTACCTCAGGGAGCATTTCGTTTTGAATGCGAGGTAAGACGGGAATAATATATCCTAGATGATGTTTGGTTTTAGAGGAAAAAAAAGTATGCATTACAAGAAGAAAGAAAGAAACAAAGAAAGAAAGAATAAGATCGAAAGAAAGAAAGAACGAGAAAGAAAGAAAGAAACAAAGAAACAAACAAACAAACAAACAAACAAAGAGAGAACGAGATAGATAGATAGATAGATAGATAGATAGATAGATAGATAGATAGATAGATAGATAGATAGATAGAACAAGAAAGAACGAGAAAGACAGGCAGAAAAAAAGGACGAGAAAGAAAGAAAGAACGAGAAAGGACGAGAAAGAAAGAAAGAACGAGAAAGAAAGAAAGAAAGAAAGAAAGAAAGAAAGAAAGAAAAGAGAGAAAGGAAGAAAGAAAAGAGAGAAAGGAAGAAAGAACGACAGAAAAGAAAAGAAAAAAGAACAAGACAGAAAAAGGAAACAATAATGTTCTCATGCATTTCTTCAGGGAAATGGAAAATTTTGTAAGTTTTGAATATTTTCATTTTTAACATTTTATTCCTTTAAATAATGTCCTTTTTACAGGTACTTATATTAATTAGGATATTTTTTTTTGTATTTTATAATTGTGGAACTTATATGGATCTTATTCAATGATTAAATTAAGAATTATGAGTCATTAAGAAAATCAAAGACGAAAAAGGTAAATTTTTCACGAGTCCTTCTCGTAATAATGATTTCCGTATATAAGAGAACTTACTAATCCAAAGCCTGACATGAAATGAAATTATCTCAACATCATAATCCTCCTTCGATCTCCCTATTGTTGGTCCAAACTCCATTGACAATCCCTTTCCAACCTGTTCGGTCCTCCATTGCTGCTCCCAGATCCCTAATGTCCAACCCTGAGTCTCGTGCTATGGTTTCTGGGAAAGAGAATTTTCGTGAGAAAACACTTCCAGAAGGATGCCATAGAAGTAAGAAAGTGACAGTTTCCCTGCCCGCTCGTTGGCAGTGGCCGACAAACTGTAATCGTTTCTGTTTGAGCTTAAGAGAGATTGGTGTCAGTTCTCCGTAAATTGTGTTAAGCATTGCATGAGATATCCAACTGATTGCTCTAAGTAGATTTGTAATATCATATAGATATTCCATCTATATGTTTAATATTTACCACTGAATTAAAGGTACTAACTAGGAAAAGGATTGTGTTGAAAATAAGTATATCTTGTGAAGAAATAAATGCTCTTTCCATTGTGGCTCTCTAGATTTGTTATTGTAAGTACTTGTTTTAGCTTGATTTTCATCTATTAAATTCCGTTTAAATTCACAGGGTTAAAATATATATGTATCGAATAAACTGAATGTAAACTGGCTTTAATTTAAGTAGTTTAATGTAACATATCATTCTTTCGTTTATCTCTCTCTCTCTCTCCCTCTCTCTCTCTCTCTTTCATTCAACAACTTATCTGTTTATTTCATTTACTTCTTTCTCTCTCATTCTCTCTCACTTTCTCAAATCATCTATTTCTCTTTTTCATAATCTATATTTCTTCTGACAGACAGATAAAAGGAACTAGGAATAGATAGATAGATAGATAGATAGATAGATAGATAGATAGATAGATAGATAGATAGATAGATATTATCAGCCTCAGATCGGTAGGTAGATTGAGAGATAGATTGCATCGGACTAAGATCGACAGATTTCATCGGACAGAGATAGATATGATGAGACTGAGATAGATAGATAGATAGATAGATAGATAGATAGATAGATAGATAGATAGATAGATAGATAGATAGATAGATAGATTTAATAGATAGATAGATGATAGATAGATTTAATCGGACTGATAGATAGATAGATAGATAGATAGATAGATAGATAGATAGATAGATATTATCAGCCTCAGATCGATATGTAGATAGAGAGATAGATTGCATCGGACTAAGATTGATCGTCGGACAGAGATAGATATGATGAGACTGAGATAGATAGATAGATAGATAGATAGATAGATAGATAGATAGATAGATTTAATCAGACTGATAGATAGATAGATAGATAGATAGATAGATAGATATGGTCAGACTCAGATAAATACCTAATATTATCCTATAAAACAATACGACCTTATATATTCTATAAGTATATAAATATATAAATATACACATGCAAACAAATTTCCCTCTATGTAAACATGTAGGGAGTAATTCATTCCTATTTCGAGAAGCTTCTTCATCAGCCGGAAGTTATGATCATGATATTTTTCAGGCTTAACTCTCGTAGGATACGATGTCAGGGTGTCAAGTGAAATGTGCATAAATAGTTATTTTTGACTTGCACGAAATATTATTGCCCAACGATAACTATAGCCTTATGGCTCTGTTGAAAAAGACAATTATCAGAAGAAAAACCAATTGCAAAAGAATATAAAACATAGTACCTTATAGATAGATACCTTGTGTATTCTTGCTTCACAAATAAGCGTGATAGGTATCAAGTAAAAGGCTAAATTGTCAATGATTTTATAAACGGGGCATTCAAATAAATACGGGGATCTTCTTTTTTCTGAATACACATAAAATAATTTTCAAAATCAGTGGATATGAGTGCTGATAACGTCGAAATACCAACTTGGTCTACATCAAGTTCACAAAGGGTTGCTTCTATTTTGAAACTGAAAACTTTCGCCTCCATAACATTTTAATAAACTGAGAGATTCAAGTAAATTTCGAATTTTATTAAACTGGGATGTCCAAGTAAAGAACTTAATTTCAAAATTGTAATAATCGAGAAGCAAGAGTATACAAACCCACACATCCACACACATGTACACGCTCTCTACATCTCTTTGTCTCTCTCTCTCTCTCTACACACACACACACACACACACACACACACATATATATATATATATATAAAGTTGTAGCCTCTGTCTGTTTGTTTGTTATCGAACTTCTCCGAGGGTTTTGGAGATATAACCCCATAACCATATATATTCTTAAACTAATATCATTTTCTTACAAAAAATGTGACACGCAGCAAGGTGCGGGTTATTCGACTAATACACACACACGCACGCACACATATATATGTAATAATTTTTATATATTGAGATAAGGATTTTTATATATCAAGGACAATTTGGGAGGAAAGATGTATGACAAATTGTTACGCGTTTTGTACTTAGTCCGATGAAAACGCATCACAAACAATTTTCCCCTTTGTCATATATATATATATATATAGATAGATAGATAGATAGATAGATAGATAGATAGATAGATAGATAGATAGATACGGAGAGACGAGTTAGATCTGTATCATTCATAAGTCTATTTGCATGTGGATGAATGTAATGAACTTGACTGGACTTCAAACTCTGCTCTCCGACTTATTCCGAGCGGCCAGCCGTTACACCATCCGTACATCCGTCTAAATGAAAAGAGATGTCTATTCAAACATTTATATTATTATTATTTAATCATAATAATAATAATAATAATAATAATTGGTGTATCGTCGAGGTGAATGTTACACGGACAAGAATGAGTGCTTAATATATTTATGCGGTGCTAACGGATACATAAAAAAAAAAAATCAGAACAATAAGTTACAAAACAATTAACAAGATAACTTACAAGGAATAGAGGAGAGTCAAAAGCTGTATAGCCAAACGAAGTAAGATCAGTCGGAATATTAATCAGCTAAATATCAACTTATTACTCAACTGTTCTTAACCATAGACTATTTAAGACTATGAGCAGTTTATTTAGAAGATTACCGAAGGGGTGCTATTTACTCCACAACAACAGCAATAATAATAATAATAATAATAATAATAACGTATTCACTTTCAACGCTATTCTCTATATGTTTATGTCTGGGTATATATATATCCGCTGGGACTGTAAACAATTTTTATCAAACTTCAGACGTTGCTTTTATATCAGTCGAAGATAACTGAACGTGCTTAAATAGATAGATTTTTTTTTCATATTTAATTTGGTCAAGGAGGTCGATAAAAATTTCTAGACTTTATCTAAAGACTCGGAATTCTTTATTTCTTCCCCAAAATATAAGCTTCCAAGAATACAGTAAGAATCTTTTAGGCTTCTGATTAAATCAGCGCCAGACTTTCACTGGAATCCATTTCGCCGAGGACTTGATAGACGTTCGACTCGCTCACCGTGTCTGTCACTCGACGAACTGTAAACAGATCCTACACGCCGAATCTATGGTCGGCATATTAGAGAAAATCGTTCTTGTGCTATCTTTGTCCTGTTCATCTATTGTTGAAGACACCCAAAAAGACGATTGCTTTCGACAAAACAGGCCCACTCAGTTGTGAAAGAATATGATCTTTTTGTAAGCAGGTTAACACAATTTGCAACCAAGTGTAAAAAAAAATCGTAACGGCCTTGCTAGTTTCCTGACGGTTTATCGGATTGGAGTGATTCTTGCAGTACAGCTATTGTGTAAGGCAAGCGCTGAAAATAGAAGTCGAGACCAAAAAGAAGCAAAGTACCTTGTTTAGGGTGCTCGCCTTCGACCGCGTATTAGCGCTGATGGGCGACATTGCTGCTTCTTTTATGTCGATGAGATTAGAGAGTTTTGGTATCAGGGGCGCCCTTGCCACTGAATTCCGTACATCATTAACATCTTAATGATTTTCTTTATCTCAAAGAGTAAAAAATGGCATAAAAGACAAATACATAGGTATAATTATTATGTGGCAAACACATTTTTCATTCTTGATGTACGAACACATATTATACATGTAAAAAACTGTCAAATAAATTAGTTGTGGGTGAAAACGCAGTGGGTAGATCATTGGACTCGAGATATAAGGTTTACAAGATAGCGAGACTTGTTCATCGTCTATATTCACCGAAAATAAAGAAAAAAATCGTTTAACATCAAAAGGAAAAGAGAATGTAATCATACTTACCGTTAATTGTCTCATTATCTGTGAGGTATTCTAAAAATTATGATACCGAAATAGTTTTCTTCTGATTATTGCCATGATCAAACGTATAATGTTATTGTTTTAAACAATAAGAAGAACTCGAAAATAAATCTCTCACGTTCGGACTTCGTCTTTTATTATCAATGAGTGCATCTATGGCTTTGGGGGCTTTCTCTGAACGTGGATTCGTCTTCTCGCATTAATTTTAGGCATTCTCTATGTTTTTCTCTTTCGGATAAGCCTCATTTTTTTAATCATTTCACTCCAAACAAGGCGATAATGTCACTAAGACGCAAGGAACTACTGAGAGTGGAGGACAATAAGATTTTTGGTGGGGAGAAAGGACAATAAAAGAACAGAATTGAGGAAGACAGCATCTCACGATTGGCGTTGCATTTAAATGTTTGAAGATTGTATGTGGCAGTAAAGCAAGAAATCAGAAGTGCGAGAAAAGAAACTATTCGAATAGTTGTTTGTAGCGATTCCACCAGTCGAGGTGGAGAGCTTATTAGAACAATTTCCACGGAAATATTTATCACATTGGTGGGAAAAGGAGTGGAATCGAGATATCAGAACTGATAACAATGCAGACCCTTTTTTGAATTTGTTCATAATCTCGAGATGTATAGACGGGACACCAGAGCAGATATGGCAGAAATATTCAATGCGCGGATGAATGGCAGATTTATAAATGTGCCAGATTGATTCTGAATAGAAAAATTGCCTGACACGACAAAATGAACCAAGATTCTTAACACAAGACCTAGCAATTGTTTCCACTTCATCTCAATAAAAAATGTAATCTCAAGAAAGTACAATGATTTGCTCTCCAGGAGATTAGCATCAGCCATGTTGATAGAGGACAAAAATGCTTGTCTATGGTGATTAAAGGATAGCAGTTTCGTTTTGGAGGCGTTAAAATTTACAAGCCATTTCTTGTCCAAGTTAGCAATTGATTGAAGCTTATTTTCGAGAGCAGCTGCCAGGTCTACCTTGTCGGGCTTATAGGGCTTTCTATTAAGACACCAGTAAATAGCTGTGTCATCTTCCTCTCAACTGGTTGTCCCACTTGTGCACATTCTGAGCGCAATACTCCGATCACCTACTTATACCCTGTCGAGGAACCAGTGATATTATGGGAGAACTGGTGGCAAGGAGGGCATCTTCCTGGTCAACCCACTGATACATCTGGCTTCTTTGATACTGTCGTGTGACACCGAGAGCAAAGTTTCTTTTAGTATCACCTGAAGTATGTAGCGGAAGTGGGAGTCATCACATATCAGTTTCTATTAGTATAACGGTTCCTTAAAAACATTCAATTTTATACTAGTTTTGCTCATGCTTAAATTAGTTCATAACTCAATTTTACCAAATAGCATCATTTTTTGTAAATTTGAATAATTATGGCGAGGAGAGACATCATTGTTTAACAAAACTTTCTATTTTTGCATATTTATTTTATATATATTTATTGAATTAATTTTCTATGCAGACGGCTTGCTCCCAGTATATGTTCCCGATTATTTCTATATCCTTCCCAAAAGATTATTTCTATATCCTTCCAAAAAGATTATTTCGATATCCTTTCCAAAAGATTATTTCTATATCCTTCCAAAAAGATTATTTCTATATCCTTCCAAAAAGATTATTTCGATACCCTTCCAAAAAGATTATTTCGATATCCTTCCCAAAAGATTATTTCTATATCCTTCCCAAAAGATTATTTCTATATCCTTCCAAAAAGATTATTTCTATATCCTTCCAAAAAGATTATTTCGATATCTTTCCCAAAAGATTATTTCTATATCCTTCTAAAAAGATTTTTTCGATATCCTTCCCAAAAGATTATTTTTATATCCTTCCAAAAAGATTATTTCGATATCATTCCAAAAAGATTATTTCTATATCCTTCCTAACTATGTTAGGACTTCTAACAGTTCTTTTATCAAACGCTTTTGCATAATGAAATCTTTAATAGGGAATTGAAAGAATTAGCGACGTACACATGTGAGAGATGTCCCTACCGTCACTGACAATACATTAGGTAAAGAACTGGAAAGTATAATAAGGAAGGTGGGGAGAATTGGAAAATCGAGTCATATTTGAAATACTCCCGACGACAATATTACTATAATCACCAATAATCTTGATGAAGAATTGTCTCTCACTTGATCTACTATAAAATTCAACATTTATGATCAGGATGAAATCTTGATGACTAGAAACATAACTTATATCCATACATTTTAACCCCAAACCACTACATATGTATATATACACACCCATACACACACGCACACATACAAAACATATATATATATATATATATATATATATATATATATATATATATATATATATGTATTGCACACCCTTACTATGTAAGAATGATGGAAAAACTAAATAAAAAAGGAAATTTTCTTTATCTGTCATATTCAACGAAACAAGTTTAAAAGATAATATACGTTAACACACACACACATACATACACACACACACACACACACACACACACATATATATATATATATATATATATAAAGCAGATGATGTCTGTTTTTTGCGTGAGTATTAGTCTGTGTGTATGCAATTTATGCACGTCCAAATTTCTCGACCGATTTCGATGAGATTTTACACATATATTGTAAATTGATTAAGTTCGGTTAAGACCATAATTTCAATCTCCAGACCCCCTGGATTTAGCAGAAACATCGATAAAACTGAAGGTGGGTACGACTTTTTGCAAAAACAAACTTACACGCGAACAAATTTTTTACTGGATGAGCTGATGTTCTTTTCACTTAATGCAAAACATAGCTAATGTTAGCATATTTATATAGTGTTTGATAGTTTTTTCTGAAACATTTGCTTCACAAAAAATTGCTAAAAACTGTCAAAAAACTTGAATAACTTACTCAATTTTTTTATCCGATTTTCTTCAAACATCTCGGAAAAATTTTGCCATCATGCAAGAAATAAGATAGTGATCGCTACCCCGTGTATAACGAAAAACCACGAAAAACAGTGGAAGAAGCCCGTTTAAAAACAATTTAAACCCACGCAACAACCACAAAAGGTTTTATCAATGGGATTCATTTATTAAGAACAATCAAACACTTACGAAGGACATACCGTAAAAAGATGACGGTAGAGGAGTAGCTTATTATACCAGCGGATTACGAATACAAGCGGGGACGCGGGCAGGCATTTCTCGACAGGCGCGGGGGTGTGGTTATACAATTGTTATACACCCCAGGGTAATGCCGAGTACCTCAGCTATATATATATATATATATATATATATATATATATATATATATATATATATATATATATATATATATATATATATATATGAAAAA